GTTGTTTCCTCAATCACCAAGGGTTACCTAATACCCTTGAGGAAACCGGCTCCACTCGCAGATTGTAAAACCTTGCAAATGTGTTGGGTGTCACCCAGCCCGCAGCTCTACAGATGTCTGTTAGAGGGGCGCCGCGTGCGCGCGCTCGAGAGGATGCGAAGCTCCGAGTGGAGTGCGCACGCGCTCTCGGGGGACGCGGCTCATCTCGGCTCTGATAGTGAAAGAAAGGCATCCACAATCTAGTGGGAACTTATTTCGGTACGGCACTTCCCTGCTGCCGACCGCTATAACAGACGAAGAGCTGCTCAGATGATCTAAACTCTGAGTGCGGTCCGGATAATACGCAAAACGCGAACTGGACAATAAATAAGGGCTGGGTCTGCCTCCTCCGAGGGCAGCGCTTGCAGGCTCACTACCTCGTATTAAAACGGAGTGGTAGGAACCTTGGGCACATATCGCGGGCGGGGTCTCATACGTGAGAGAAGCCAGCCCAATTACAGGCACGAGTCACTGACCGAAAAATGCCTCCGGGTCCCCGACCCTCTAATCGATATCAACGCGACCAGCAGAGCTGTCTTCAGGGACAGAAATATACTGAGTCGAGGATCGAAGGGATCTGACGCGGCTTGTGTAGCGAGGGCGAGATCCTAAGAGGGCATGAAGGGGGGCGGGGTGGATTAATTCGCTTAACGCCCCTGAGGAACCGGATGATGAGGTTATGCGTTCCCACGGTGCTGCCAGCCACCGCGTTATGAGAGCGGAGATGGCAGCCACGTAACCTTGAGTGTGGAGGGCGACAGCCTGCTCTCCAACTTCTCTCGGCGTAAAGAAAGCACAACGCTGATCTGGCAAATTACGGGGGTCTTCTCAGCGAGAGACACACCATTCAGTGAATAGACTTCACGTCAGGGCATAGGCGCGCTCGGGGAGGGGGCTCTAGCCCGAGTGACGGTATTAGCCACCGCAATCGGAGGTTACCTAAGTCTTCCTCGCGTCTAAAAATCTCTTCAAAGATCGGCGAGGGTGCCAGGTGGTGCCCTGTCCCTGAGAGAGTAGGTGCTCTCTCGAAGGGACTGCCAGGGGAGGGCTATCGCGAGGGAGAGCTCTGACATCCAGGTCCGGTTGAGCCAGAGGGGCGCAACCAGCAACCTGTTCCTCGTCCTCCCTGACCATGCACAGTAACTGCGCGAGCAGGCTCACTGGGGGAAACGCGTATTGCGCGTGCCCCGAGGCCAGCTGTAAGCCAGTGCATCCGTGCCGAGAGCACTCGGTCAGGGAAAGAACAACTGGCAATGAGCGATCTCGGGGGAAGCAACAGATCGATCTGGGCTTCCCCGAATCGCGCCCATATCAGCTGAACAGACTCGGGGTGGAGTCTCCATGCTCCAGGACGCAAGGCTGCCGTGAGAGCGCATCGGCTGCACGGTTGAGCTTGCCTGAATATGAATGGCGTGCAGCGATTTCAGCCGCGGATGACTCCAGAGGAGCAGACGGCGGGCGAGCTGAGACATGCGGCGAGAGCGCATACCCCCTATACGGCTGATATACGCCACCGCCGCCGTACTGTCCGTCCTGACCAGCACGTGTTGCCGCTCCAACACCGGAAAAAAACGGTGGAGAGCGGGGAACACTGCCAACAGCTCCAGGCGATATGCCAACGCAACTGGGTACCTTTCCACAGGTCCGCAGCCGCATGCCCGCAACGCACAGCCCCCCAGCCCGTGTTGGAAGCGTCTGCTGAAACGACAACAAGACTGGACGCCTGTTCTAGAGACACCCAGGCCTGTAGGAACGAGGGGTCGCTCCAAGGGCTGAGGGCGCGGCGACACAGCGCAGTAACAGAGACTCGGTGTGCGCGCGCGTGCCATGCGCGTCTGGGGACTCGATCGTGAAGCCAGTGCTGAAGTGGTCTCATATAGAATAATCCGAGCGGCATGAAGCGGCTGCGGATGCCATATGCCCCAGGAGCCTCTGAAATTGTTTCAGTGGGACCACTATTTTACTGTCGAGCTCTCTCAGACAGTACAGCATCAGCTGAGCGCGCTCTCCGGAGAGGCGCGCTGCCATGGTGACCGAGTCCAGCTCCAGCCCGAGAGAAGAGATCCTCTGCACGGGGGCGAGTTTGCTCTTTTCTCGGTTGACCTGAAACCCCCACAGGTGGAAGTGCCAGAGCACTTTGTCTCTGTGCATAATCAACTCTGTGCATAATCAAAAGAGAGGGCAATTCAGCCAGTCGTAAAGAAATTGAGTATGCAGATGCCCGCGAGCCGAAGGGGCGCTGAGGCACCCTCCGCGGGCTTGGTGAGGACCCGCGGAGACAGAGAGAGCCCGAAGGGGAGGGCTTTGTATTGCCAAGCTCGACCTTCAAACGCAAACCGCAGAAACTGTCGGTGGCGAGGAAGAGTGGAGACATGGAAATACGCGTCCATCAGGTCTAATGCTGCAGACCAACCCAGAGGACGAACGCACCGGAGGATGCGCTTCTGCGTGAGCATTCTGAACGGCAGCTTGTGCAGGCAGCGGTTCAAAACGCGCAGATCTAGGATTGGCCGTGACCCACCGCTCTTTTTGGGCACGATGAAGCGTGGGCTGTAAAACCCGCTCTCCATCTCGGCTGGAGGGAGCGGCTCGATTGCATCCTTCGCCAGGAGGACAGCAATCTCCTCTCGCAAGACAGGGGCGGACAGGGGGCTGACCCTGGTGAATACACACCCGTGACTTGGGGGGCCGTTTCGCGAACTGAATCGCATAGCCGAGTCTGATTGTGCGTATGAGCCACCGCGAAGAGCTGGCCCGCGCTAACCAGGCAGGCAGAGCTCTCGCTAATGGACTCATCGCTACAATCGCTGACGTACCAGCAGTGGGGCAGCGCGGAGTGGGTGTGCTGATCCGGGAAGCTCGCGGGTCCCACGGAAAAGCTGGAGGTGGGATATTTGCTCTCACTCCAAACCCGAGCTCCGGAGGGGAGGCTCGAGGGGTGGGAGAAAGGAGACCGTCCTCCCAGCGCTCGTGAGCCACTGGCGAAACGCACCGAATCTGCAAGCTAGAAAGCATAGCGTCCCAGACTGGCAGATTTCGGGCTGTCACATCTGGGGAAGTGAAAAGTGCCCTTTCATAATGTTTTCATGGCAGTAAAAAGTGCCGTTGGAAATGGGGCCCCGCCCTCCAGCGGGGAAAGAGCAAGTTCCCTCTTCTCCAGATGGCCTGTCCCAGGGGCGCTTCGCGGTCCGTTGCCGGACTTAGCGGCGTTCTGGGCAGGGGGGCTGCCTGCTTCCGAGGTGCCCGACGCGCTCGCTTCGCCTTAGGCGTGTGCGGGGGCGGAGCAGCTCTCGTAGGCGGACGCCTTCGGCGAGGAGCAGGTATGAATGGCACGGCGGGCGGAGCGGGCTACGGACCGCCGATAAGACATCACCCACCAACTGCTCTCTCACCGCCTTGAATTCCTGGGTGAATTCACAGACAGTGTCGCCGAACCTGGCTGGGGATATGGGGAAGTCAAGAAAGCGGACTTTGTCGACTTTGCGCATATCAGCCAGGGGTGGCGCTCCTGGACCACTAATGTGGACATCGTCCTCCCCAACGCACACGCAGCGGACTCAGTAGTCCGAAGAGCTAAGTCGGCGGCGGTGCGAAGCTCGTAAGCCTGGGTTGGACCCACCCTCGTGCAGCTCGGCCAGCGCCTGCGCTTGGTAGCGCTGGTAGGTGGCTATCGCATGCAAGGCGGAAGCAGCCTGGCCCGCAGCTATGTAAGCTCTAGCTCCGAGGGAGGTAGATAACTTACAGGCTTTGGATGGGAGACGAGGCGGACCCCGCCAAGAAGAGGCGCCGCGCGGATTTACCGCCATCGCGCACTCAACCTGAGGAATCGCCACATACCCCCTGGCTGTTTCACCGTCAAGAGTGGTTAGGGTGGAGGAACACGCAGCACGAGCAGAAAAAAGTGCTTTACAAGACCGCGTGAGCCTACTGTGCACCTCCGGGAAGAAGGGAACGCCCCTCTAGTCGGTCCGGCCGCGGAGCTGGGGGATAAACCATCTCCAACCCACGGCCGAAGCAGCCCGGGAAAGCACGGCTAACATGTCCGTTTCAGGATCCGTAGTGACAGCGCTCACCAGCCCGAAGGGGGCGAGCGGGTCTGGATCATCATCGGACAATGAAAGCCCACCCTCCGATGCCGCGGTGGACATCTGGTCTCCGGTGTCATCGGGCGTAAGGGCTACCATCTGTTAGACGGATCGCTTCCTCCGCCCGAAGCTTGGATGGAGCGCTTAGAGGAGCGGGAGGTCCGCGGGCCCGTGGGCGACGGATTATCTCTCGCTGAAACCCTCAGATCTGCCCGAGTGCCCGCTGCAGAGCAGGGGACAACTGGGGTGGTTCGCCTTTTTGCAAAGGCTAACCGCGATCTTGCGCAACAGTCATGGCATCGCAATGACGACATGAACTGCCCGCGAGCAGCGCATTAACATGCTGGACCCCCAGACATGTAACACAGTGCCCGCGCCCATCATCCGAGGACAGGAAACCACCGCATCCAGAAACGCACAGTCGGAGCGCCGTCCTGATAAGGACGTGCTGCACGACTGTGTTGCTCTTTCTGTGAAGTTTGCAACTTTATACGCACCGCTCTGGAGGACCGGACCCAAAGAACGCCAGGCAAGGGAGAAACCCAGCTCGACCGTCTGCCACTGCGTGTACACACTCTGGACCGGGAGAATGCTCTCGTTCGCTCAGAATCGCTGGTCACAGCAGGAGGAACCCTCATCGCCTCGATCAGAAAGTCTCTGAAGCGAAAAGGATAGCGTCTGCTGCGCCAGGTGAGCTTATATACTCAGTTGATTGCTTATGCCGCTCACCTGCGCAGGCTTGCGCTGCCAATTCATTCTTAATTGGCCCGTTCAATACTCTTTCAGACGAGTAGCTTCTGAACCGAACCTCCCAATGCGTGGATTTTACAATCAAATCCACTTATAGTGCTGAAGTTCCCCCCGAAGGGGAACGCAGGCCAGTGTATGTTGTTTTTGTCCATTACAAGGAAACATGTCATTAATGGATGAGTTAATTGAGTTATTTGTTGGTCGTAAAAAAAGCAACGAGTCAAATGATTTGTCTATGAAACCTATAACGGAGGGTCACGCTACTCCAGATGTGTCTGAAGCTGACAGATGCTCGTTATTCATCAATAATCAGCATTGACTGCTTTTCAAAAACAATTTTAGATGGTGGAAATGTCATCATATAATAGAAATAGAGCCAGATTTTATATATAGCCTGCTAGTAAACTCAACAAATTTGCATTAAAAACTTTATATGTTTATTAAATAGTACATTAAACATACATTAAATGTGTAATTTGTGTGTATTAACGGAATAATAATGCTTCGACCATTTAATGATGATGCAAGTCAGCTGATCTTCATCACAAAATAAAGTTTTATGGTTGATCTGTCTCCGCTGCTGTCTGTTTACTAAACAGAAACTGAGAACAGATAATTGTGGATGATGCAGGTCACTGACGATTAATGAAACAAACTATTTACAATCCAGTTTACACCTTATTTACTTGCTAGATTTTTGAACCATCTAAAAATAAGGCCTTATTATGTATAATAGTAACTAATATAAAATAGTATTAATACAATAACCTTGTATAAATTCTGCCAAGTTTAATATCAAGAAGACATTGAAAGGTAAAATCGTTTGTATGTCAAACACTTGTCGCATTCTGCCAGTGAACTGACTCTTTACAAGGCCTGCCCCCTTTTCCTATGTCCAAGTAGTTTTCACTACCAGCCGTCAATCCCTATATTAATTAAACAATGAATAATAATTTCTGGAAGAGTTCAGTCAGAGGCAGGCACAATTTTCTGTTCAATTCAGAATTTAAAAGTGACTTAAGTTGGAGTAATTAAAATAAAGATTGAAGTTGAAGACAAAATTAATTAATTATTATATTATTATATATTAACAGAGCAATACAGTATTTTCCATTATGTTTTTCTTTCGGATAAACATTTCTTTTAGTTTGGCTAGAACATGTGTAGTGTTGTCATTTATATTTACAGATAACTGAAAAAAAAACATAATATACTAATTTATTTTTGCTAAAAACAGAATTTAAGACATTTAAGTCTCCTTAAGTTTCCTCCAGGTTCTCCGGTTTCCCCAAGTCCAAACACATGTGCTATAGGGGAATTGGGTTGGCTAAATTGTCTGTAGTGTATGAGTGTGAATGAGTGTGTATTCCCAGAGATGTGTTGCAGCTGGAAGGGCATCCGCTGCATAAATCAAATACTGGAAAAATTGGCGGTTCATTCCGCTGTGGCGACCCCAGATTAATAAAGGGACTGAGCCAAAAAGAAAACGAATGAATGATTTACAGATTGTTATGCCATTTTATAAGTGATGTAACAGAGTTGACCAGAACGCGTTCGAACAATCAACAAACCTTCCACAATAATCTATTGAGAATGTTAGGGGAACATGCTTAGAACATTTTCATAATGTGGACGGATCTTACAATGTTCATATAACAACATGAGACTGAAACATTATGTAGAGAATTGAAAAAAAACATTATTAAATCCCAAATTAATGTTGATACATCATCTAAAAAAATGAATGAACATTTTGAACTTTGTAAAAACATTCAGAAAATAATATTATATAGATTAGGCATGGGCCGGTATAAGACTCTCACAGTATGATAACCATGGATATAAATGTCCTGGTACCACAGTGTTGAGATCATTGCTCTTAAATATATTCTTTCTAAATGTCTGGGAAAAAAAACAAAAACCCTTTCCCCCTTTGAACGCCATATATTCATTTTGTGAAAGATTTAAAATATTTTGGAACAGTAAACATGTCAGGCTAAATAATTTACATCAATCAGAGCCTTCTGCAGTCTTCATTAGTTTAGAAAACACTGATTTCTTCACAACTTAAAACAGCATCCTTGGATAGCTTTTCTGCTGGAGATACTGTTGTCCTAAAAAACTAAAAAAAAAAAAAAAGTAAAATGGCTTTTTTCAAACCGCGGTATATAGGGGTGTCACGATTTCGATTTTTAATAGATTTTTAATCGAAATCGATCGAAATTTATGCTCAATATTGATTATCGAATCAAAAAATAGAATCGTCGATGCTGCCACACCCCCATGTCACGTCAGCTTGGCTTGCCAAGCGGGAAAAAAACAGGCTTGTTGAAGTGCTTGTTAAACTGCAGAAGCAGGAGACCTGTCGACAGAACTTAAACCCTCTCCTCTTTCAATGAAGTCGCTGGTGTGTAAGCATTTTGGATTTCCAGTGAGTTATGTTAACAACGTTTGTGTTGTCGACAAAAAAAACAGTTTTGCAAGCTCTGCTATGTACGTATTAGATAGACAACACCGGCATCGCGATCCTCCGCCCGCCCCCGTTGCAAATCCGCTCGCGAAAAGTACACACTCAGGCCCTGTTAACACTGTCTTTGTTTTTAAATGGCATTTTAGAACGACAACGATTTGACATCCACAGTGGCGTGTAGCATTTCTGAGCAGCCCTCCTTCCTCTCTACCTCTGAAAATGCACATCACGTGACCACACAGACACAGACACACACAGCCATGCGCTCGAGACAGCAGGTCCAGGCAGTCAGAGGACTGCTTCAATCTTTCACTCACTTGTACTTAGTCAATTAAACGATCACCTCAGATACTGTTGGCTGGTTCCTGTAGGTTGTGCGTCTTTTTTACCGACGCCATTATAACGACACAGATCACTGCCTATTCACGAGTCCAGCAGAAAAAGTGATTGACAGGTGGTAATTATGTGTGTATCTTGCCTTTATTCATTTACTGTATGATTTGTTTATGGGTAAAACAAAGACCATGCAGGTCAGGTAGTTTAAATGGTAGGCTACAAATAATTAATTGGTCATTAATTAATTAATTATTCATTATCGAAAATCGAATCGAATCGTGCCTTTAGAATTGAAAATGTAATCGAATCGAGGATTTGGAGGATCGTGTCACTCTTAGCGGTATACCATGAAAACAGTTATCATCCCATGCCTAATATAGATTCATGTCAGGTGTAAACCATTGCTGTGAGTTTTTTAGCAGCAGCAAAGCCAGAAATTAATCCTCTCTGAGTGAAGTTTTATTAAATAATTTTGAGTGGAGCATAAGCAAATCATTGAGAAGGCTAAAGCTGCGGTCACACTGGACTTTTCTTCCCATAGACTTCCATTCATACGCACGCAAATGCGTCAGAACGGAAACGCAAGTTTGTGTGTCAAGTTGCAAAGTTCAAGCTTGGTGAACTCTGACCTGCGAAATCGCATCACTTGACTGCCTGAGACCAATCGAGGATAAAAACATGACCTCTCTGGACAGAAATGTAAAACATGGTCCAATCGCTTGTGTTTTAAAACGTCTAATCATCTCGTTTAATCATGCCAATTTTCGCAGCGTCATACAACGGAATTTCACATGCACAAACTCTAGTGTGACCGCAGCATAATTCATCATTGAAGATCGTAGAATTATCCAATCAGCACTGGAACTCATATAAATTACCAGGTATGTCAAAATATTATCTTGTTATTTCTCTCGAACTTCAGCAACCCTCCAACACCCCATACTTTAAATTAATTTACTTAAGGGGGGCATTGAGACTGGGCTACACATTTCACTCAAACCCCTCTAACTCTCTCTTCTGACAAGGGGAATAACACAAGTTACCGTACGTTCACACCGAAAGCGGCGAGAGCGTCAAAGTAGCCGGAAGTCATTCATTTTCAATAAGAGCCGGCGGCGAGGAGCAGCGCGGCGCGTCTTCTCCGGCGTGGGCGTCGAGGAGAGTTGAAATCAAGGCTGTTTCTCAATTCCAAGAACGCAGAGAACGGACTTGTGGAGAGCGGTCTTGCCGGGTGTCCTCGGAAGAACAAACTCAGGAGACCGTGAGGGCAGAGAACGCGTCCTTTGAGAATTGAGATGCTGCGTTCTTCCTGATGGTCACATGACCTTCACATGTTTTAAATGGTAAAGTAATTAAACATTACAGCCTTCATACAACGATTTATTGTTTTTCCCCTTTTCAAAATATATACTATGCATAAAAACATTATATATATATGTTGCACAATATAAATAAAATAGTTTTTAATATGAATTTCAGCAAACAAACACCCTTAATGTGTTTATTCCTTTATTAAGATGTTCATGGTAATGTTTACTTTCACCGTTTCATTTAGTGAAACTCCTGAGGTAAATAAGTTAAATCTCTGAACTTTAATAATAAATCTAAATAAAATGCAGCTCTTCCCACCTCCAGTCGCAATGACTTCTGGGACTTCCAGAGTGAGTTCGGTGCTCAAGTCTGCATCGTTGCGTCCTCGATATCAAGATCACATCCGGGAAGTTTCACGCGTCCTCCGTACTTGCGGTCTGGAGTATTGGAACTAAACTTAGGCAGCTGTTGATGACGTTGCACGAGAACACGAGGACGCAAGACCGCTAAAGAACGCATATTGAGAAACAGCCCAAATCAACTTTATGGTAATGAGCTATGACGCGGTTCGGCGGCAAGCAATCAGAATGAAGACGTTCACCGCTTGATAGGAGTTCAACATTTACAATGTTTTCTTACAGGAACATGCATTAAATAAGTTACTGGTGAGTTACTGATGTTCATTACTGTTAAATATATTTATCTTAAAAAATCGGGAATCTCACGCGACGTGACAGTACAAAACAGTACAGCTGCTTCAGGATATTTCAGACATATGGACACATATTTGATAAATAGAGCAAAGCCAAACCACACGCAACTTGATCTTCCATTGTTAAATGAAGTTGATAAGAAGTGCGCAACATTTTCACACTAGAAACATGTTTTATGCAGGAATGTAACTTATATGCTGCAACGGCTCCTTTAAATACGAGATCAATGTAGCGAGTTTTGACGCTCCCGCTGCCGGAGCTGAAGGCAGATAGCGTTGTCGCCAGGGCGGCCAGAGCGACCTTGGACGCTCTCGTCGCTTTCGGTACTTTTGAAGCGAATGTAAATTTATAGTAAGAATCTTGAGTTGATTTTTGACTGATCTTTTCATGTTGATTTCAGATCAGAAGGAATTGACAGAAGATTCCGCCACATGTCGTCAAAGTGGGAAGCATACCTTTAAGGAAGGAAGCATCGAAAAGACAATGAGAATTCCCACCGAAGAGAAGCCATTCATCTGCCCCGAGTGTGGGAAGTGTTTTTCCGCCAAACAAAAGCTGGAGACCCATATTAGAATCCACACCGGAGAAAAGCCCTTCAGCTGCCCTCAATGCGGAAAAGGTTTCACGCAGCAGGGTCAGATTAAAACACACATGCGAATTCACACCGGAGAGAAACCCTTCACATGCCCTCAATGCGACAAGAGCGTTACGTCAAAACAAAGCCTCAAAAGTCACATGAGGATTCACACAGGAGAGAAACCGTTCACCTGTCCTGAGTGCGGCATGATCTTCTCCCAACTAGGATATCTTAAACGTCACGTAAGAACTCACACCGGCTTGAAACCTTTCAGCTGCACCCAATGTGGAAAACGCTACAAAGTGAAGCAAAGCCTTGAGAGCCACATGAGAGTTCACACCGGAGAGAAGCCTTTCGCGTGTCCTCAGTGCGGAAAGGGTTTCACGGCAAAACAGTGTCTTAAAAGTCACATGAGCGTTCACATCGAAGAGAAGCCTTTTAACTGCTCGCTGTGTGAAATGAGCTTCACCCACCAGCAAAGTCTGAAGCGCCACATGTTGATTCACGTCGGAGAAAAGCCCTACGTTTGCCGTCAGTGCGGAAAGAGTTTCTCGGTGAAACAAAGCCTTGAGAGTCACATCAGGATCCACACCGGAGAGAAACCGTTTGCGTGCGCCGAGTGTGGAAAGGGTTTCGCCGTCAAACAAAACCTTGAGAGTCACATGAGAGTTCACACCGGAGTGAAGCCTTTTTCCTGTCCTCAGTGTGGAAAGAGATTCACGGTGAAGCAAAGCCTCGAGAGTCACATGACTATTCACACCGGAGAACGGCCTTTTACGTGTTCAATGTGTGACAAGACTTTCACGGTGAAACATAAGCTTGAATACCACATGAGAAATCACACCGGAGAGAAGCCTTACATCTGCCCTCAGTGTGGAAACAGTTACGCCTTGAGGAACCACCTCGAAAGACATGTACGAATTCACACCGGAGAAAAACCGTTCTCCTGTTCTAAGTGCGCAAAGAGATTCACCATGAAGCAAAGCCTTAAAAGTCACATGAGAGTTCACAACAGAACTAAACCGTACATCTGCTCTCAATGCGGAAAGAGGTTCACGGTGAAGCAAAGCCTTGAGAGTCACATGAGCCTTCACACCGGAGAGAAACCTTTCACCTGCACTGAATGTGGAAAGAGTTATACGTTAAGACAAAGCTTAGAGACGCACATGAGGGTTCACACTGGTGACAAGTGTTTCAGCTGCTCTGATTGTGGACGGAGTTTCACAGTGAAGCAAAACCTTCATGTCCACATGCGAGTTCACACCGGAGAGAGGCCTTATACTTGCGCGCAGTGCGGAAAGAGATTCACGCAACACGGACAACTGAACCGTCACATGAGAATTCACACTGAGCAGAAGACGACTAGGGACCGTTCTGAAGAAACTCTAAATGATGAGACTGCAGACAATTCTTCAGACATACAACATCAGTCAGAGGAGAAAGATGTAGTCACTGTGTTAATATAATTTAAAGGCCATAAATGATATATTGTTGACGACAAAATTATTAGCGAAATTTTTTCAAGTGCTGTTTACGCTTTAACACATTTTTAAACATAATAGTTTAATAGCTAATTTCTAAGGGTGTGATGAGACGCTTACTCCACGAGATAAGACACGAGATTGGGTTCACGAGAACGACACGACAAGATTTTTACTCTATTTTTAGGAAATTGTCTTTTATTCAACTGAAAAAAACTATAAAAACTATAAAACTGTTTAGGTTTTTTTTTTATTCGACTTGTAATAAATGTTATTTTACTTCTATTTTAATTAATTTTATGGAGAAAAAGGCAAGCGAACACTGTAAAAAAGTTGCTAATAGCCTATGGTAATGGAAAATAACTTATTATTAATTTTGAATATTATCAAAATATTTGCTAATATATAAACAGAAAATAGATTTTAATTTACTGAAGACAAAATCACAAACTGCAAAACAATTTAGGCTCTTTTTTAAAATAATTCAAAATTCAAAATTATAATTAATATATATATATATATATATATATATATATATATATATATATATATATATATATTATAATTTTGAATATTCACTGTTTTAATGAATTCTATGCTGTAAAGGACATGCAAACACTATATTTAAATATAAACTCTACTAACTGGCTTCTCGCCCAAGCAACCAAATGACACGTGTAACTCCAAGGCCAGCCTGGGTTCCCAGGTTTGTGCAGAGCACTTGATTTGCAGTTTAAATCCAATCCTGCCTCCAATTTGTAATGCTAATATCACCCTCATGCTCCTTCTTGACGTCACAACTCACAAGACAATTTCACCTTGACGAGAAATCTTGTCATGATTTAATCTCGAAAGATTTTCTCATATGAGATCTTGTCACACCTCTACTAATTTCTATTAGTCATGATGACTGTACATAATATTTTATTTTGCAAGATACTAGTATTCAGCTTAAAGTGCAATTTAAAGGCTTAACTATGTTGTTAATCAGGCTAACTAGGAAAGTTAGGTTGATTAGGCAAGTCATTAGATAACAGTGGTTTGTTCTGTAGCCGATAGTAGGGTTGGGCGCTGTCGACCACTTTGGCATCGTACAATGTCTTAATGTGAAACACTGCTTTTAAATTATTATTTATGAATAACTAAATAATTCATAAAGAATTAATTATTTGTGGTCTAATGTTTCAACTATCTGACCTGCATGGTCTTTGTTTTACCCATAACCAAAGCATAAATAAATAAAGATAGGTTACACACAAATTACCACCTGTCAATCTCTTTTTCCGCAGGACTCTGGCATGAATAGGCAGAGTGATCTGTGTTAATATAACGACGTTGACAAACTTGGTTGGTAAAAAAGGTGCACAACCAAAAGGAATCAACCAACAGTATCTGAGGTTTTTGCTAAAGTACAAGCGTGAAAGCGAAAGACTGAGCAGTGTACTGACGCTGTGACACGTTACCTGATGGATTCAAAAGATCGAAGAATCGTTAGATATAATAATAAATTAAAAACTGATTTTATTTTAGTCAAACTAAAAGAAATAAAGAGTTTCTCCAGGAACAAAAAATGTATATATATTACATAAATAATCTCAAAAACGGCGTTGCTTTGTTAAACAGCACTTGGGAAATATAATTAAAACTTCAGAGAAGTGTGAATAATTTTGCCTTTAATTGTATGCAAATAGGACAGTTTGGCCAGGATGCTTCTTTACAATCAGTTTTTTCATTATTATTTAAATGTACATCTTCAGCCAATCCATGCTGTAAATAAAACATTTTAACACAATTAGTGATTCAGTGGTCACTGACCAGACTTTTAGCTGTTAAAGTGTCATTGTTGCCTGTTTATATATTTAGACATATATATTGTACATATTTTGGGTACTTCTATGTAATTTATATATAGATTTATGGCATAATTACTGTCAGAATTGTAATGACTGAAATAATATTATCATCTTCACATTCTTGCACTAAGAAGACTTCAGAATTACACACTGTGAAGCAGAACATTCCCATTACTCTATCTTCATGTTTCTGTTCTGATGACTTAGGAGCTTTGACCAATACAAGGTTATTCAATAAACTTTGCTAATTTCTTAGCACTTAATGGCCTACATCAATCTTGTTGATGTTGAATTATTCATTCATTCATTCATTTTCTTTTCGGCTTAGTCCCTTTATTAATCTGGGGTCGCCACAGGGGAATGAACCGCCAACTTATCCAGCGTGTTTTAAGCAGTGGATGCCCTTCCAACCCATCTCTGGGAAACATCCACACACACTCATTCACACACACACACACACTACAGACAATTTACCTCTACCGCATGTCTTTGGGCTGTGGGGGAAACCGGAGCACCTGGAGGAAACCCACACGAACTCAGATAGAACATGCAAACTCCACACAGAAACGCCGAGGCTCGAACTAGCGACCTTTTTGCTGTGAGGCGACAGTACTACCTACTGCACCGCCCTGAATTATTTTAATGTATATTTGAATTTTTACATTTTTCAAGAAAGATCTTATTTGAAAGATAAGAGAAGCTGGCAGAAGGCAATCTGGATTTTTTGGCACTGGATCGCCCAACTTTAACATATATTCAACAGAAATACTACTTGAACTAGAAAAATATGTATACTGATGAGCAATTTCAGCGTTATGGATGCGACATTTGCAGTAAAAAAAATCAAAACATAAATTTACACAAAGTTTATATTAACTTTATATTGAACCATCTGTTTATATTTTCCAAAATTACTAACCACAGAGTTATAAGATTAGAAAAATGTGCTTTGTACTTTAAAAAAGGAAAATAAACATGCATTATGGATGTGACCAAAAAAAGGATGTGAGTTTGCAGTATACAAAATGCTTTGTAGAAATTCTGTGAATTAAACGGCACCCCCGAGACCCCCCCCCACCCCCCAAAATAAAATATGCTAATCAACATGATAAGAGTTGGCTCTCTATAGAAAAAACATGATTTATTTTATTTTATATTTTTGCATTTAGGAGGAATAAGGTTCGTTATGGATGTGACACCTCTGTGTTAAGGATGTGACCAATGTGAAATTGCCACTTGTCTGACTTTGGTAAATCAAATAAAATTGTTTAGAAACACTGACAGGAACATTTTTGAGTATGTCTAAAATACTGAAAAATACTTGCTTACACAAAACAAAACATAGAAACAGTTTCTGTATTTTGTGAAAAAAAAATTTTTGGCAAGGTTGACATTAACATGGAATTGCTCTGATTTTGTTTCTAAGTAATTTCCCGAAAGTTTTCTTTCTATATACATTTTGGTCAGACTGAAACTGAAGGCTAATAAGCTAATTAATCAAAAAATTAATATGAGGAGTTTTTCATCCTTATCAAACAAAACATTGCTGAACTTAAGTGAAATTTAACGTCTGAATGGTGAAACAGCAGCTGTACTTACCTCTAAATCCTTCATAGAATGGGAGTCGACCGTTACAGATTGAATTTCGTCATTCATTCTGGTTCGTTAGCTAAGCCTCGTTCAGTTTTCTGTCAATTAACGTACTTTACTTTGATCTACAAATCACACACTGGTTCATTCATATGTTCAAAAATGTACCCATATAATAATATAAGAATCTTGTTCAGCAAATCTACGGCCGCTATGCGGTAAACCATCAAATTCACAAAGATTCTGAACTAGCATGACATGAGGACGCTTCGTTGCTGAATCACGTGACCTCGCCACTTCTCGCCTAACTCGCCTAACTAACACACTGAAGCTTATTTAAACAGTGTAATGAACGCCAAAATAATCACTGTTTTAAGTAATTCTGTATTTACAATATGTTTTCAATATTGTGAACGAAGTCTGTCTGATGGAGACTGCTGAACAAAGCTGCACTGATCTTTTCCTGGTGAAGATGGAGCAGATTGAAAACAATTAGGCAACACAGACACCAGATGTGGAGACGAAAACCTGCCAGCCGTCAGCTGGACAAGAACAGACGAGGAAAAGACCCTGTAAGATGCTCATTTATCATAAAGTTAAGTACGGTCTTCATTCTTTTTATCGTAATGAAACGCCACAGGCAGCAAATTATTTTTGACTAGGGGAGATGAATGATTAATCCAGATGTCAAATATAGTTGGAAATTTGGCAGGATAAAATTACCATGGCATGATTTCATGTACAAGGAAAAACAATGATAAAAGGACAAAATCGGGAGAATTAGTTTTGTGACAAACCATAAAGGATCAATAAAATTTAATGAAAATCTTATCATTAAATAACTTGGAATAAGAACTGCCTTAAAATATATTGTTTTAATGATGCCCACAGAATTTATATTAAAACTGGGATCCTGGAGCGTCATTAAAAATAAAGTTTTAATTAAATAACATTTAACGAAAAAACGTCATTATAATAATAATTATTTAAATGTTTGTAGAAATCTCAGCACAAAAGCGTATTTCTTTAAAAAAAAAGTCATCAAAACATTGTTATATATGAATTGTTTAAACTTATTTTAAAAATGTACCAACAACTTTCTTTAGGCTGAGATTAGCATGTTAGCATAGCTTGGCAGTTTACAAGATCATATATAAAGGTTGCATTTGCGAATGGTGAAATGGAAGTTGTAGTTGTAAACAAATAGACCCCTACAACATAACACACACCAAAATATTCCATTAATATTAAAACTGAAATCCTCATTAGCATTTGTATGAAGCAACAGAGTTTGATTGATTGTGTGAATAGTCTTGCTTATTGACTTAATACTTATCTATAAGGTTCGCCTGTGTCTTGTTTAATTTTTTGCTCTGTAGATAAACAGCCCGCATTTTTTGTCAGTTCATGTTGCTTATCAAGTGATTTTTCTCTCATGAATACTTTTGTGTTCATTAAAGTGTGATTGCTGGACTCTCATCCTTCAGTTTATTCATTAGGGTGCACATACAGTATGTTACTTTGGCTTTTTCTTGTCTTTATGTCTTTTATCTTTGGTATTTTAGGTCTGACTAAACATTCTGTCACTTCTCATCAAAGCTACACAGGCGATACTGAACAGACTTTCACGTTCATATTCAAGCAAAGCCTCGAGAGACACTCACAAGGTCACACTGTAGAGAAGTATTTTACATGTTCTGAATGTGGGAAGAGCTTCGCCGAGAGACACAATCTTAAAATTCACTTGAGCATTCACACCGGAGAGAAGCCTTTCGCATGCCCCCAGTGTGGAAAGAGCTTTAGGGTTACCAACTATTCCAGCATATGTTTTACGCAGCAGATGCCCTTCCAGCGGCAATCCAGTACTGGGAAACACCCATACACTATGCATTCAAACACACTCTCATTCATTACGGCCAATTTAGTTTACCTAATTCTCCTATAGAGTATGTTTTTTGGGCTATGGGGGAAACCGGAGCACCCAGGAAACCCACACCAACACGAGGAGAACATGCAAACTCCACACAGAAACACCAATTGGCCCATCAGGGACTCGAACCAGCAACTTTTTTGCTGTGAGGCGACAGAGCCACCAACTTTAACAGAATTGGCCCTGGTGAATTAAGGCTGCGTTCGAAATCGCATGTTGAAAACAGTATACCAGCCAAGTAGCATGTCTGAATTCATTGTATTAGAAAACCAGTGTGCAAAAAGTATCCAAATGACCAACTACTTTCGGCGAGATTCTGAAGTGTGCATTTAATGGACTCTAGACTATCCCATGAAGTAGAGCTGCACAATTAATCATAAAAAATTTGCTGTTGTGGTACAATGTTTTTTAATTTCATAAATATGTTTCACATTAAATATAACTCATTTATCAATGTGCCTATGTAGACAATACTTTTAATCCGATATTACAACACAAAAACTCAGCACACAATGTCCAGTTACATTTACAGTGCATACATAAAGCCAATAGTAGTTATTGTGCGAGACTGCAGACCTACTAAAAAGCTCCTTTAGGGAAAAACATTCACTGAAAATCTGTCATTTTTGCATATAAATTGCACTGTAATATTCAAGTCATTTGGATTTTATGACAGACTTTAGTGAAAAATCATTCAGTGTATTAATTTCTGATGTTTTAATTAAATGAAATGTATTAATATAAAATCATTGTTTTACAAAAAGCCAATTTACTGGCAAAAAAATCGATTTTGTCTTCTGGATCTGACATATATCTGAAATAATAATAAAGCCAGTAACAGAAGACAGAGTTTTTTTTTTTAAATAGGCTGCCATCTCATAATAACAGGCCACTCTTTATTTATAATATATCTAGAAATATTAATAAGTGACAAATGGAAAAAGACTTTAAACTACTATAATTAATCTTTTATAAATCCAAAGTTCTGTCCAAACTCTGTTGGGTGTTTTAGTTTTTATGTCTTGAACACACTTGTTTGTAGAGCAAGCATTTTGACTGTTTTTTGTTATTCCTAGTAATTTCCCCCATAGGCGACTGAATTGAACGCTCTAAAACAGTCACAAAAAATAAGAATAAGGTCAATATAATCACTGCCAAAATGCACACATACTGCAGCCCACTGAAAAAGGTGTTTCAGTATCCAGACAGCACTGTGACGGTGGGGTATCTAGTGCGGTGCGTCATGCACTTCTCTCGGTCAATGAGGAGGGAGTTTGTTTTGCAGGCGATGTCTTTCTCCAGGTTCAATCTGCTCTCCTCCAGGTCAGACAGAGACTTTTGTGCTTCATAAAGCTGCTGCTGCAGGGCCGACACGGTATTGCTGAGCTTGGACGCTTCACCTAACAGACTACACACAACAGGTGAGTTTACATATGTGTGTGTGTGCTTGTTTATGTGGTTTATGAGAACACAAATTTGGTTACTGACAAGGGTATGACAATGTTGAGTTGGTTTATACGGATATTGTTTCCTCATAATTTAAAACCTTACATTTTAAAATCATATGTTTTTTTTTCTTCGTTTCATTTCGTTTGAAGGTTGGGGTGGGTAAAGACTATATAAATGTATTTTTTTACAGTATAAATACATAATGGCTATCTAGAGTCCTCGTATATCACAAAAAATAGCATGTGTTTGTGTTTGTACCTGAGCTGCGGCTGGTCTCGACACTGCTCCATGTTGGGTCTGAGGGTCCGGTAATGCAGTCTAGATTGAGCCACTCTGAGCGGAGCCTCTTTATCATGCACCGCCTCCTGCAGTTGTGAGATATTCCTCTCCTGAGCCCCGATCTGCTCCAGAATCTAAAGCACACACACAAGATAAAGTTACAGAGCAAAATTGTATGGAGCCAGATCAGTCTAAAAAAATAATACATTAACAAAATAAAATTCATGCATCTACAATTCATACGACACAATTCACATTTATAAAAATCCAGTTCGTAAATTTAAAACCCGATTCAAAAATACACAAATCCAATTTGTAAAATCAGAACATGATTCAAAAATACTCAAATCCAGTTGGTAAATTCAAAACACGATTAAAAAATATGCAAATCTAATTCGTAAATTCAAAACACGGTTTAAAAACACTCAGATCCAGTTCGTAAATTCAAAACACGATTCACAAATACACAAATCCAATTCGTAATTTAAAAAACAACTGAAAAATATGCAAATCCAATTCGTAAATTTTAAACCCGATTCAAAAATACACAAATCCAATTCGCAAAACCAAAACACGATTCACAAATACACAAATCCAATTCGTAATTTAAAAAACAACTGAAAAATATGCAAATCCAATTCGTAAATTTTAAACCCGATTCAAAAATACACAAATCCAATTCGCAAAACCAAAACACGTTTCAAAAATACACAAATCCAATTCGTAAAACCAAAACACAATTCAAAAATACACAAATCCAAATCGTAAAACCAAAACACGTTTCAAAAATATACAAATCCAATTCGTAAATTTGAAACACGATTCAAAAATACACCAATCCTATTTTTTAATTCAAAACATGATTCACAAATATGCAAATCCAGTTCATTTGGCAAAAATATTTATGATTTTAACTTGTGAACTCACGAATTGTGTGTTTATAAATTTGCTAATTGGATTTTGTAAACGTGAATTGTGCTCTGCTTGTATAATTTTATTTTTTACATTTATTTTTGAGACTGATCTGGCTCCATAATATTAAAAACGTTTTTTACCATTGTGTCAGACGGACCCCCAAACTACACTCGCAACCAATCAGCATTAAGGGGCATGTCTAGTTATGACAGCAGAGATATAAAAAATAGGTAAGGTCCTTTTAGGTTATAAGTGTGTTTGCTTTAGTGCTTTCAAATATCAGCATCGTTTAGCAAAATTTGCGTAGCACACCTTTAAACATAATTATACTACAGCACTGTTGGATGCTTGATTAGCCGGTGAGCATTCTAAAGTGCAGTTATTTTCAGATAAACACACAGCTATAGTAGTTCTGGCAGGTTTTGAGCGAAGAAATGGCTTTGGACGAGATGTGTAAGATACTAGTCCTAAACACAGGAGCCGTCTGAGTACAAAACCTGACAAATGTCTTAAATACAACATATCAGCTGATGTTTTAGCTGTGGTAACTATAGTATAATTGGAATAATTGAGTCCAGTTCATTGAATTATTAGAAAATAATGCAGGCCAAAGTTTTACTGCCCAATCAGCTTCATGTTGTAGATGCATCACCACCTCAGGCATGCACTAATTCATGATAATACAAAATACTGCACACGAGTATGATTGTTTGTACAAAATACAAAGGCTATGCACTCAAAAAAATTGTGTTTGCTTGTTTGTTTAAGCAACTTAATAAAATGAGCTGAAACAACACAATTATTGAGTTTTTTTGGGGACAACTTAAATGTTTTATATTCAATCCACTTAAATGTGTAAAACGAATAAGCTACCTTAATTCCTTCATGTCCCAACGCAAAACAATTGTGTGGAACCCAGCATTCTTCACAGTGTGAATATGATATTTTGTGTACATGTATTGACTTTTGCTGTGTTTGTGTGTGTGTGTTGCCTGTGCCAGATGCAGCTCCAGCTGTGTTTTGGCCTGGCTCATCTCCACGCAGCGCTGAGTGAAGGCTCGATCCACAGCGTCACACTGCGCACGCAGGTCCTCCGTGGTCTCCTGCAGGACCCGCTCAGTCAGACGCCTCAGGGCCTGACTCGCCGTCTCCTCTCTTTCCGCCAGCCGCAGGTTATCCACTGTGAACTTACGCCAGACCTCCTCATCACACACCCTGCAGAGAAACACATCCGAGAGCTCCATGCTGTGATAACTGTTCATCATCAAAGACCCAGTACTGCAAAAATAAGTCTGGGGCCCTAATCAGATGGTAATTGGTTTCCTTTTTTCAGAGGGACGTAAGAGATTTTTTACTATTTATTACACAGGATAGTGGCTGACTTTAGTTGCTATTGGATGAAAATAATGTTGCTGTGAATGTCTGAGTTTATAATCCTAAAAACCCAGGACCGACACTACAAATGCAGAAGCAAATGGTTAGGCTTTAATTGAAGATTACCAAATCAAACAATTTTTTAAGTGGATTATCTTCCACAAATTAATTATCCACATGAAGAATAACAATGTAAGCCAGCAAAAATAAAATTCAAGCAGACTTTAACAGATATTTCTAACAGTGTAAAGAGAAGACACTTTGTATTGTGAAAAGTGTGCATGAAATGAAAGCAGTGGCGCAAAAAGGCAAGTGGTGCTCGCTGCAGAGCCATTTGAGGAGAGCTGAGCTCCAGCGAGGGGGAGCATGAGCTGTCGCTCCTCCTCCTGTAAGCTGTTTTAATGCGTATATAATATATATAATATAATAATAATATTAATTATATATATATTTTTTTTTATAATATATTATATATATATATATATATATATATATATATATATATATATATATATATATATATATATATATATATTGTTAAAAATGTTTATTTAGCATTTTATATGTGTATAATATTGTATTTTATTAAATTAAAAAATCATTCCACCACTCCCCCCCCCCCCCATTTTTCATACCATATACATGTTTTTATGAATTTATTATGTATCATATTGATTCATCAGGCCTTTTGGTAACTTCTTAGCTCAAAACTTTTAACAAAACAATTAAATAGAACATTTCACACAGTTTGTTTCTGTTTTTTTTTACACTAAACATTTGACAGTCTTTTTTATTTCACTTTTAGCACTTTCAGTCAATTGTTCTGGCAAAGACAGACCTTACATTTCTCACAGTATGCAAAAGTAATCACAATGTTCTTTTGCCCTTTAGGACTCCCATGTCTATGATTTTGTTTTGACAAATGTAGTACAAAAAGTCCAAAAGCAAGGCTAGTCAAGGTGTTATAATCATTTAGTGAGGGAAAATTAAACTGGGAAGAAATTTGGGGTGGTATGAGATGCATTTCTTTGCGACTTAACATGCTTAATGTAATTATACCTTTTACTACTTCATACTATTTCAGTTGTGTTCAGAACTGCGAAACTGTATTTTTTGAAGCATATTGATATCTTTATGAAAAAATATCTTTAATTTATTGATGGAAATATTTTCCACATTTTATCACTTGCCCGTTTTAAAATATAGTTGGATTGAAGGGGGGCGCGCAAAAGTTGAAGCCGCATACCCATCAGTAAATGTGCAGTTGCGCTCCTGAATGAAAGTATAGCTAGTGTCTTGTTGAAGTGAGGTTTGGTACGCACTGATCTTGAAGCACTGCTGAACTGGGATGCCGCTGTGTGTCGGTGCTCCTGTTGCTGAAGCGTCCACAGTGGTCATCCAGACTGTACGCCTGCTGTTTATCAGACCAGTCCAACTCAAGAGTGTGTTTCACCTCCCGGTTCAGCCTGGTGGACACAGACACAGCTGTGTGACTTTACTCAGACTTTTATCCTGACAAAATGCCATTCATCTACTATATGTGACAAACCACCTGTAGAAGACACACTCTTTAATCTCTGTCACTTTTCCTGACACTTTCTTACAATCATTCCATATATCTATAAAGATATTGCACATTTCTGAGTGTGCCTCACACTGGTGAGTGGGCTTGACAAACCCCCTGTAGAAACACTCTGCTATAATTAGTGTTTCATGAGATACAAGACATAATAAAGGGATAGCTCGTTTACTTGATATCCACCTCTATCCTTACCTTGTTTAAACACAAAGGAAGATATGTTGAAGAACGTTGAAAAGCAGCAGCTATGTACCTCCATAGTATTTTTGTTCCAACTATAAAAGTTAGTGACTTCTGGTTTCTAACATTCTTCAAAATATCTTCCTTTGTGTTCCACAGAATAAAGAAGTTTATAAAGGTTTCAAGAGTTCACACTTAGCTGATGATTGATAATAAAGCTAGTTTGGCGTGCTGTCCCGGGAGAGAGCCCTGAGCTCATAAGATCCTCGAGCCCTGGGCTCCCTCCCGTTGCAAGGCGAGAGGAGAGTTTGAGCTCAGGTAGATCGCGATGACTCCCCCTCTTGCTTGTTGTAGCTAAGTGTCAGATATGGATGCTGAAAGGTGTACTCAGAGTTTAGCTAAAGTATTAGGATTAATTGTTTAGAGTGCTTGTTTTTGAACTGTGGGAGGAAACCGGAGGACCCGGGGAAAACCCACGGGGAGAACTCAGCACAGAAATGCCGTCTGGTTTGGAAAGGAATTAAAGCAGGGGCATTCTTGCTGTGAGGCAACAGCGCTAATCGCTGGCCACCGTTACGCCCGTTTTAAAGGAGGGAAAGTAGGGTTGGGTGGGGGGGGGTTTCTTCAAGACGAAGATATTGAGATGAGAAAAGTCTGGTTATTTATAGTGAGTTAAGGATCGTCTGATAGGATAATCAGTCATTAGCTAAAGTTGGAACAGCTGTGAACAATCATAAGCATGTGATCCTCTCGAAATTTGTTTATAAATAAACTTCACTTAAAACCACTTGATCAAGTATTTTTGGGTGAACTATCCCTTGAATTATGAGACCTGAAGATTATGGAATCTGTAGAGACTTAAAAACAAATGTGTAATGTGGATGACTAGCCTTATCTGGTTGATGGTTTGGTCCAGAGTTTTTTTCAGCAGGGTCTGGATGCTTCTGATCAGCTCCACCTCCTGTTGCACATCAATCAAAAATGGTTTGACAAGTGATTCATAGGTTACTCGTTACAACTATTACTGTAATTCTTTACTCATTAATGAAGAAGTCTTTCACATTTACACTCTTAAAAAGAGATTTTCTATAAGATTTTTAGGCAGCGATGCCATAGCAAAAAAACATTTATTAATTTTAAAATAAGCTTTTCGGTAAATAGTTCTTCAAACACACAATTTACTTCTATAAAGAGCCTTTTTGTCCAATTGCAAGATTCCAGTAATGTTAACTTTTTCCATGCAAACATAGATGCCATTAAATATATATATATTTTAGTTAAAATACTAGTGATTTCAAACCATACTATAGTAAACTAATTAATAAGCTGTGGTGATTCTATAGTTGGCCACATGGTGGCTCAGAGGTTAGTACTGTCGACCTCACAGCAAGAAGGTTTCTAGTTCGAGCCCTGGCTGGGTCAGTTGGCATTTCTGTGTGGAGTTTGCATGTTCTCCCCATGTCGGCCTCCAGGTGCTCCGGTTTTCCCCACAGTCAAAACACATGCGCTATAGGAGAACTGAATAAGCTAAATTGGCCGTGTATGTGTGAGAATACAAGTGTATGGGTGTTTCCCAGTGCTGGGTTGCAGCTGGAAGGGCATCCGCTGTGTAAAACATATGCTGGAATAGTTAGTGGTTCATTCCGTTGAGGCGGCCTCTGATAATTAAAGGGACTAAACTGGAGGAAGATTAATTAGTTAATTAATTAGTTTTCAAGTAGTAGAATTCGTTAGCAGTGTTAGCTTCGTTTAACATTATAGATACAATAATATACACTTAAAACATTTACTCATTATTTACTCTCTCTTAAATAGTTCTCAAACCTTTATGAGTTTCTTTATTCCCCTGCACACAAAATAAGATATTTTGAAGAAAGTTGAATTCTTGTAACCATTGACTTCCATAGAAGTAAAAACAACTAATATGAAAGTGAATGGTTACAGGTTTTCAGCATTTTCAAAATATCTTACAGAAGAATTTTCAGTTTTGGATGAATTATCCTTTTAACGAATAAACTCAAATAAATGAACACATTTCAATCGTTAATGGAGCTGAATGCTGATTTTAAATGTGGTCATTTATTATTTTTTTGTAATACTCCATGTAAATTGTCTGTGTATGTTACCTTCAGAAGTAACCATTGACATCCATAGTAGGAAAAACAAATACTATTAAAGTCAATGATTACAGAAATATCTATTCTATCTTTGTGTAGAATAGAAGAAACTCAAACAGATTTATAACAAGAGAGTAAAGAAGGACAAAATTTTCACTTTACTTAAACGAATAAATGAAAATTAATGCACAAAGAAATTTCAACCTACAGAAGAAAGAATTTTCAGTTTTGGATGAACTATACCTTTAACGAATAAACTCAAATAAATGAACACATTTCAATCGTTAATAGAGCTAAATGCTGATTTAAATATGGTTATTATGTGTTATTTTTTAATTAGTAGTCTGTGTACCTTCAGAAGTTCCTCCTCCACCGCGTCCTTCACCAGGTCGGGACCGAAGCGTCTCTCCCGGCAGGTCAGGTTATCGGTGGCGATGGCGAAGGGAATCTCCGTGGCGTCCAGCGCTTTCTCCAGCCGCCGCCTGGAGCTGATCTGCAGGTCGGTTTCTGCGCTGAGCCGCTCAATGAGTCGCTCCAGCTCGGACCTCCAGAGGTGGATATCCTGCAGCCGCGCGCCCAGGTGTGTGGTGCCCTCGGTCTGCGTGCGTAAAGTAGCCGCGTCGGTCTCCGCTTTCAGCGCTCGGGACTCGTGGCAGATGTTTTCCGCCTGGTTTCGGTCGGCGGCTGCCCGGTTTAACAGAGCGGAGTTATTGTCGAACCACTCGTCGGGGGTGTATTTGGCGCTCCGGTAACCCGCGGTGGTCAAACCGGTGGATGTTCCAGCGTATACATTATGTTTAACGGCGATCTCCGGGTTTTCCACCGGTGGCTGTGAGCCACTCTGCGCCACGACCCGTGTGTCATAATGAGGCCGAGACACTAGAATCTGTGAAGACATCATAATTTGGAGTAAAAGTATTTGAGCGCCTGTATATGAAGCGTTTTACTTATAACGGTCGAGGAGATGACGAACGGTTAGTTTGTTTTCCGTCGCCTGGATACGGTTTCCATGAGTTTTTTGGACGCGGGAGTTTCACGTTACACATTTTCAACGTTATTCAGATGAACTCTATTTACACGATTATATCTAAATTACATTATTGTTGCTATTTGTTTTTTCTTCTTCAAAAAAATAATCCATTATTCTTAAAATGATTGCAGATTCAAAGCTCAGAAACAGAAAATAAATCATAAAATAACAACATAATATATAATACATATATAAACACAACTTGTCTGTGTTTGTGTGTTAGTTATAAATGGAGTTGAAATATAAAATCTAATAACCTGCAGGGATGGTTCTGAAAAGGTTCTCTCCAGAACCTGAAAATAACCTACAGGGAGCATTCTGGGAAGGTTCTGTCTACGTCAGGGGTGCCCAAACTTTTTCATATAAGGCCAAAAACTAAATATCATTGGGAGCTGTGGGCTGAAGATCAATATACCAAACTATTTTATTTCATACTATTTTAAAATAAATAGAAAACATTGCTTTGACTCATATTAACTAATGCAGTATGACTTTTAAATGATAACTTAATGCAATAAAGCATAAGCAATCACATTTATAACAACGGAGACCAGTGCTGAATACACTAGTCAAGCAGAATTTGCCTTTGACTAGATTTGCCCATTAAAGTTCCTGCATTATCCTCTATCCGCAGGCTCACAGTATTTACATTTTAAACTAAATTACAGCATGTAAATTAAAACTTTTTATTTCAGTAAAATTTCTGTTGCTTAACAATAAAACAAACTAATAAAAGATTGCATTACATTTGAAATGACAATCTCTGTCTCACCATCATTCTCCCTCTCTTCTCATGGGATGGCGGGCCAAATCAAAGCTTATCATGGGCCAACTTTGGCCTGTGGGCTCTAGTTTGGGCATCTCTGCTGTAGGTTATGTATAAAAATGAAACCAACAGGGAACATTCTGAGACAGTTCTGTCCATGTTATTAAAAAATCCAATTAACACCAGCAAGGAACCTTGGAATGGATAGATCTTGGTTATAAGAATAACTTTAAAATAACCTGCAAGGAATGTTATGGGAAGATTTTTTCTAAGTTATAAAATAACCATCATCATTGAACATAACCTGCAGGGAACATATTGCAAAGGTTATATTGGTTATCAAAAATATCCAACAGAAAACACTCCCGTACCCAGAAATAACCAAAAAAGGGAACGCAAAGGGAAGTGTTTGCATGGGAGGAGTAGGAAAACTACATAATACATCCAACTTCAAATTATTCAAAACATTAATGAATTTCTCTCTTCAGCACTAAAAAGACATTTTGAAGAATGTTGGAAACATTGCCATTGAGTTCTATTAGTGAAAAGAAATAATATGCCAGTTATGAACATTCTGCAAAATATCTCCTTTTGTCTTCAACAGAGGGGAGATATTCAAAGAGATTTGGAAGGAGCTGTGGGTATGAAAACGATTTAATTAAACGAGTGTTGCTAGCTTCCAAAACTGCAAGCTGGTGGACATTTTATGGGTTTATAGGACGTCTAAATATTCATAAAGACAGAGATCCCTTACAACAATTAACCCTGATACAAATTCATTATGGTTAAATTGTGATAAACAGTAAAATAAACTCTTTTCACCAAACTAACCAAATTTTACCCATATTTGTAGTAAAACTGTGGGTACACAAATGGCATAAATCCAAAAACATCACATACCACACCATCAGACAAAAGATCATACTACACTTTTACAATAATAAAACCACATTTATATGACAAGTTATGGTTATAAAACATGAACCATCAATGAAAAAATAAGCATGACATTGCAAAATACATGTTAACTTAAAAAAAAGCATATATTTTTATATTGGGCAGGAAAAGATTGATTGTTTACTCAGGATCTGCCACTTCTACAGCTTACACTTCCTCTTTCCAGCGGTCTTTTAATTGGCTTAATGCTGCTTCATCTAGGTTAATGATTGACTGATTCCAGGAAATGTTGGACTCAAACAGGATTGAAAATAGATTTGAGCAGCACTCGTCTGTTTCACTGGGTTAATGGACACTTTCTCCCCGGGCTCACCATCATATTAAGGTTTTATGAGCAATGAGTACAAACCCGCGGAGCAAAATATTTATTTATTTATGTTTCAGTGCCATATCATTGGCTATATTTATGACAACATTCTAATCAATACATCATTTACAATCAAGACTTTTTTTGTAATAAGCTTTATATTAAAAACATAAAGATACCAACAGTATTGAGAGAGGATCATTCTAAGACTGTTTGGTTTGGTACGCTTTTGGCCCATTTACACTAATTGATATGGTACGTTATGGTTTTGTACGGTTTTGGCCCATTTCCGCTGAGTGGTACGTTACAACCAAACCCTACTGTATGACTTAGTGGAAATGGGCCAAAAGCGTACCGACTGTACCATACCACTTAATGGAAATGGACCAATGGCATTCCAAACCGAATCGTACCGTACCACACCACTCAGTGGAAATGGGCAAAAGCATTCCAGACCGAACCCTACTGAACACCTCTCAGTGGAAACGGTAAAAAAGCGTACCAAACTGACCCGTACCGTACGATACCACTCAGTGGAAACGGGCCAAAAGTGTACCAAACTGACCCGTACCATAGCACTCAGTGTAAACAGCCAAAAGCGTACCAAACCAAACTGTACCGTATCGTACTACTCAGTGGAAATGGGCCAAAAGCGTACCAAACCAAACTGTACCGTATCGTACTACTCAGTGGAAATGGGCCAAAAGCGTACCAAACCAAACTGTACCGTATCGTACTACTCAGTGGAAATGGGCCAAAAGGATACCAAACCGAACTGTGCCGTATCGTACTACTCAGTGGAAATGGGCCAAAAGCGTACCAAACCAAACTGTACCGTATCGTACTACTCAGTGGAAATGGGCCAAAAGCGTACCAAACCAAACTGTAGCGTATCGTACTACTCAGTGATAATGAGCCAAAAGCGTACCAAACCGAGAGCAAACTAAACTGAACCGTACTGTACCACTCAGTGGAAACAGGCCAAATGTGTCCCTTTTTTAAATGCTTTTAATTAAATAAGTAAATGTATTAAAATGTCTTAAAAACTCTTTTTTAAATGAATATTTTCTATTATTAACAGCATGAAATATTATTTATATATTTATGATTATTTTCACATATTTACACTTTTACTTCAGAAATAGCTTTTAAATGTCATAAATAACTACAAAGAAACAGTGGATTAATTTATATGTAGATTAAAATCCGTACAATAAGGTTCCTTTCTAAAAAAAAAAAAATAAAAAAAAAAGCCAGCCCAACGTTTTGGTCGAATATATACAAAAAGTTAAAAAGTGTAATTTCAATTTGTTTTCAGTCAGAATTACATGACACTCAGTGGTTGAGTTGGTCCATGTATTTCCCCTAAATTTGGGTTAAAACAATCCAGCATTAGCTCCAACATGGGCTCATTCTGAAAATGTAGCCCTATACACATTTCTGGAGATCGGAAATTATGTAAGCAGAAGTTCGTATGGCTGCATTTTGTCTTTAAAACGAACGTTACGGGGCAGTGTGACACCTTTGCTCTTCGCGTTACCAGCTGACCGCTTACCTCAGTCTGGACGGCTTTTCTGCTTTTACCAATTTGTCCAATGGCTCGTAGTGTACGTCAGCAGACTTGAGACGCCGTGACCATGACGCCAGGGTTCGAATTTTTTAATGAAATTAAGTGATATATTTGTTAGTCTGAAATTACCATATATTAAAATTAATAAAAACAATAATTAGTGTTTTGGCGGTTCATTCCGCTGTGGTGAGCCCTGATAAATAATAAACTAAGCCGAAGGAAAATGAATGAAATTAACAATGATTGTTTAATGTTGACTGTACACTATACTAAAAATGATTTGTTTTTTTAACCCAATTTTGAGTCAAATATGTGGAGTCAAAAATTTATCCAACAAATAATGTTGGCTTCATTTTTTTAGTTAAATTTACGTGACCCCTTTGACCCAACGTCTGCGTTTGTATCTGGTCATTTTTATAGTGTAGCATCACCAGCATGTGTGGAAAAATATCAAACCTCTCCTTTACTGTCATGGAAAATGGAAGCTTTTATAGTGTAATTGCTCCAGCCGAAGATAACCCTGCCTACACACTCACTGTTATATGTCCTGTAATTTTATGAGGATGGACCACGCCTCTGTATCGCCCTCATAATCCTGCCATTTCTGCCAGTCGATCTCACAGGAGAAGCAGCACAAAGGAGCACTCACACAGGTACAATACATTTATGAATAAACTAATGCTTACTGGCTGTATTGTCAGATATATAAAGGAGTATATTATTGAGCTTTGCATTTATAAGTCAGAGTCATCATAACAATATATACTGTTGTTTATTGATAATTGGTAGAACTAAAAAAAAGTGAAATTGATATTAGAAAGAGGTTTTTCCAGCTTCTCATCTTCATGTATTGACAGATCTTTAATAATGGAGAAGGACTACAGACCACCGCCTTACTCTTCTCCTCAGATGGATCAGACGCAGATTAACTACCCTGTACAGCCGGCACCGTATCCACCTCCTGCAGGTCAGATGATCACACACTAACAAGACAACAAACAACACAATCACACACCAGTAATCACAAAGCGTTTTATTTGACCCACTAGGAGTTCTTCTAAAGAGCAGTAAAAATGTTAAGCTTAAAACCCTTTTCGTAAGTGTCAAACTTACTACTTACAAACTTACTACAAACTATTAACTTAATACTAAGAAATAGAAATAGTTTTTAAAGTCTGTGTGAAATTGAAATGTACAATGTTTCTTTTGCTTGCGCACATTGTTATTGTTTAATTAATGTAAGGTTATCCACTGAAAGAAATGTTGTTTTGGTAACCTCAATCAAAGTCTGAGCACCTGATTCTGCGTTTGGAGTGGCGATCCTTCTGTTGTTGTCAAACAATCTCACAGCAATTTGTAACTTTTTAATTTAGTGGCTAATTCGTATTAATTCGCATGATCATATTCATACAATTTGGTACGATTTGCTTATCCTCCAATGACGTTTGGCTTTAGGAGTGGGGCTGGGTGCCACGCCTCCTTTTTAAAATCGTACATTTTCGTAAAAAACTTAGCCACGAAACCAACAAAATGTAAAATAGTTACGTTTTCTCGTGAGATCTGGCTGGTTTGACGCTTCAGATACAATATTCTTAGCCACTCCCTATTACCATAGTTTACCGTAGTAAAACCCCACCCCCTAGTCAATATTCTGATTTAAAAGGGAACTATATTAACATACTGAAATTCATTCACGTTCCTTCGGCTTAGTCCCTTATTAATCAGGGGTCGCCACAGCGGAATGAACCGCCAACTTATCCAGCATTTGTTTTACACAGCATATGTCACAGTATTTGTTTTTCCAGCTGTAACCCATCACTGGGAAACACCCATTCACACTCATTTACTACGGCCAATTTAGCTTACCCAATTCACCCATACCACATCTTTGGACTGTGGGGGAAACCGGAGCACCTGGAGGAACACAGGAAGAACATGCAAACTCCACACAGACTGACCCAGCCGAGGTTCGAACCAGCGACCTTCTTGCTGTGAGGCGATAATGCTACACATTGCGCCACCGTGCAGCCTTGAACTGACAACTATTCTAGCATATGTTTTACACAGTGGATGCCCTTCCAGCTGCAACACAGTACTGGGAAACATCCATCCACACTCATTCACCCGCACACTCATGCACTACGGCCAATTTAGTTAATTCAATTCCCCTATAGCGCATGTGTTTGGACTGTCGGGGAAACATGCAAACTCCACACAGAAATACCAACTGACCCAGCGGGGACTCGAACCAGCGACCTTCTTGCTCTGAGGCAACAGTGCTAACCACTGACCCATTGTGTTGCCCAACATACTGAAATAAAAGTCTCAATGACATCCGGATCACATAGATTTTAGGATTAGCATAGATTATGTTGAGCACGTTGGATGATATCATTATCTATGCACTCAGTGATTGGCCAATAGGGAGGGGTGGAGTCTCGGTTAGAGATACTGTATGGCTACAGCCATTTAATGTCGCAATATTCGTAAAAGGTTGGGCATTTTATGGGCATTAAACAAAGATATTCTTCTAATGTTACAAGTTAAAGTATTTTCCTTAAAATAAATTAAGCAAATTAATAGTAAAGCCTGAAATTATTCATACCCCCTGGTAAATTTTGATAATAAAGCCTCTTGTACATCTTGAGATTATCTTTTGGAAGAAGTCTGTGTCATTTCCGGTCAAAAACAAACTTGCTGGTTGAATAAAAGGAACTTTATGTAAGAATTTGCCAAGGGTTTGAATAATTTCGGGCTTGCCTTATTTATATATTTGCACAAGTATCATTTAAATAGATTGAGATTTTAAAATAAACTTAAAAATATAGTTGGAACATATTTTTTACCGTATGCGAATCTCCACTAATAAGGCAGTTACTTATTAAAAGCTCATTAAAATGGTTTATTTCCAAGGCAGATTGCCAGCAGCAGCCAATTTAGGACAGTTTTTGATTTAATCTTAGTGATCTAGGAGTCTCTTTACAACTTTCAACTGATTTAGAAGCTAGTTTTAGCACTAAAACACTTGATGAAACACTCAAAGAGCAAACATTTTGCAATCCCAAATTTAGGACTGACATGAAACTTATTTTTAAGATTTTCTTCTTAAGTTAATATGCTTTGGGAATACAGGACCTGAACTTGAGTTTCATCACAGTGTCGAGTAAGAATAAGAGTGCACTGGTTCTTTGTTGTTCAGTGTTGAAATCGTTGACATTTCGGTCAGTTTGATGGTTAGCAGGAAGTCATAAGTGCAAAACAAATAAAACGATGCCATGTGTGTTTTCACAGTAACACAAATACAGACCTTTGAACCTCAGCCTGCACATTATGACTTTGGAATAACTAATAAAAAATGTACAGTATGACACTTTAACAAAGGAGTGTTACTGTTTTACTTATGTGGGCAGTACACTAAGAGTCATTCATTCATTCATTTTATTCGGCTTAGTCCCTTTGTTTATCAGAGGTCTCCACAGCGGAATGAACCGCCAACTTATCCAGCATATGTTTTACACAGGGGATGCCTTTCCAGTTGCAACCCAGTATTGGGAAACATCCATAGACATACACGGCCACTTTAGCTTATTCAATCCCCCTATAGCGCATGTGTTTGGACTGTGGGGGAAACTGTAGCACCCGGAGGAAACACACGCCAACACAGGGAGAACATGCAAACTCCACACAGAAATGTCAACTCCCCCAGCCGGGATTCGAACCAGCAACCCTAAATTTTGGTTTCAGTGTGTTTTTACTCTTTTGCAGGTCCTCAAGCAGCCCCTTATCAACCCCCTCCATATGGACCCCCATACACCAGCCAGCCCATGCCAATCCCTGGTGAGCCCAAACCTTCATTTCTAAAGCTTTCATCCATTTCAGGACACTAGCATGTCCAGGATGAGGATAGAGCTATTGTGAAAAATCAATCGAGAAATAGATTCTGCTCTGAATACAACATTCTCAATATGCATTGCTATTCTCTTCTGAGTCGAATTTGAGCTTAGCTGTTAACAGCAGATGGCGCTCTAGACTAGTTTTGAACAGCAGATGTTGCTCTAGACTAGTTTTGAACAGCAGATGTTGCTCTAGACTAGTTTTGAACAGCAGATGTTGCTCTAGACTAGTTTTGAACCAGACGGCACTCTAGACTAGTTTTGAACAGCAGATGTTGCTCTAGACTAGTTTTGAACAGCAGATGTTGCTCTAGATTAGCTTTGAACAGTAGATGGCGCTCTAGACTAGTTTTGAACAGCAGAAGGCGCTCTAGACTAGTTTTGAACAGCAGATGTTGCTTTAGACTAGTTTTGAACAGCAGATGTTGCTCTAGACTAGTTTTGAACAGCAGATGTTGCTCTAGATTAGCTTTGAACAGTAGATGGCGCTCTAGACTAGTTTTGAACAGCAGATGTTGCTCTAGATTAGCTTTGAACAGCAGAAGGCGCTCTAGACTAGTTTTGAACAGCAGATGTTGCTCTAGACTAGTTTTGAACAGCAGATGTTGCTCTAGACTAGTTTTGAACAGCAGATGTTGCTCTAGATTAGCTTTGAACAGCAGATGGCGCTCTAGACTAGTTTTGAACAGCAGATGTTGCTCTAGACTAGTTTTGAACAGCAGATGTTGCTTTAGACTAGTTTTGAACAGCAGATGTTGCTCTAGACTAGTTTTGAACAGCAGATGTTGCTCTAGACTAGTTTTGAACAGCAGATGTTGCTCTAGATTAGCTTTGAACAGTAGATGGCGCTCTAGACTAGTTTTGAACAGCAGAAGGCGCTCTAGACTAGTTTTGAACAGCAGATGTTGCTTTAGACTAGTTTTGAACAGCAGATGTTGCTTTAGACTAGTTTTGAACAGCAGATGTTGCTCTAGTTTTGAATAACAGATGGCGCTCGACTAGTTTTTAACAGCAGATGGCGCTCTAGACTTGTTTTGAACAGCAGATGTTGCTCTAGACTAGTTTTGAACAGCAGATGGCGCTCTAGACTAGTTTTGAACCAGAAGGCACTGTAGACTAGTTTTGAACAGCAGATGTTGCTCTAGACTAGTTTTGAACAGCAGATGTTGCTCTAGATTAGTTTTGAACAGCAGATGGCGCTCTAGACTAGTTTTGAACAGCAGATGTTGGGGGGGGGGTGCCGATTTTGTAGTGTCTATTTAGGCTAAACACAAACAGTGCACCTCATTGGAATAAGCTAATTGAGTCATTCCAACTCATCACCGTTTGATTGACAGAGACAACATAACTAAAGAGCGTGACACACAGCAGCATAAGTGGCGTTGCCCGTAAAGCGCATGGCAACTTGTTTTGACGCGATCACGAACCCAGTTACAATCCAGTGTCTGATGAACTCATTTTTCCCCCCACTACATTTCAGATTTTGCAAGTAGGAATCATTAATAAGTGTGTGTATTATAGAAGACTCAGATTCATAGAACTGGATTTGAGAGATGTTATATCCAAAGCATATGCATTATAAGTTTGTAGAAGTTATACATTAAAAATATCCTTAAATATAAATTTTTAGTACTACTTCAGTAAACCTGAACAAGTTTATTACAATCCATTACTTTTCACTAGTTGTATTAGTTTGTTTTTTTTTTCAAACTGAGCTTTAAATGCTTTAAAAAATTAGTTAAATCTCTGTAGACTACAAATATATGTGCTGTATATCATTTACTTTAAAAATGCGGGCAATACATTATACATTAATTTCATAAAAAATATGTTATTCTTATTTTTTTTTAAATTTAACAATAGGGGTGCGACCAGGTAAGGGGCCTACAAGACTTTGTGCCCAGGGGCCTCTGAATTCTTAATCCGGGCCGGGCTTTATCGTCTGATGCCTGTAAACACTCTTAAATTTTGTGTTTCAAATTACTATTATATTCATACTAAATTATTAGGTTTTCTACATGGAACATCAATTACAACCTTCACTTTACAATTATCCTTCTATCTTGTTGTTAACACTATCCAAAATAAACACATCCATGCCTCAACAGACTATAACTTCCCCAATAACACTGTTCAATTCTAAAACATCAATTAAAAATTTCCTTGAGCCCTGCATGTTTTTGAAAACAAAACATGTAGGCTAATCGTACTTTCAGCTAATAAGAGTGCTTTATACAGCACGATAAAAAATCCATTACATAACACATGCATCAGATGAGCTCTGAAGGCGATGGCATACTTACAATATCAAGTCATCTAGGGTGCAAAGTGCTTACAGGTCATTCTGAAGAACTTACTTGGGCACTAAATAAAACTGATAACATTAAGGCATTATCATTATCACTGTCTTCCAAAGGTGCACACTGTGTCAGCATAACTCATGATCATATTCTTGAATCTTATCTTGATAAGTAATCATGTTTACATATCAATAACTCAAGGGTGTATGTGCTTATTTGTTTACTTTTCCATGTTGACACAAATACTTTCAATCCATTGTGAAATTCTTTCAAAGCAACCTCAATTTACACAATGGTTTTTCATTCAGTTTGAGCCAAGTGCTTATGAACGCCCAGAGCAAAGACTAGTTTTAGACCTGTCCTGACCTTTTTTAAAACACTGAAGCACACATGGCTGTGATATTTGTAAGTTTCCATTATGTAATCAGAATTAATTGGATAACAGCTATGGTAAATAGAGACATAAGAGAGCACTTGACAATTCTCAGTTTGTTTGGATTTACAATTTATGAATTTGAGTAAAATGTAATATTTGTATTATTTATTGTATTTGTATTGTATTATAATATTTGTATTATTTATTGTATTTGTATTGTATTATAATATTTGTATTATTTTAACTACTAATCACATTTCTTCCCAATTTAAAATATAAATCTCATCATTTAAAGCAGTGGCTCCCAACTTCCCAATTTCCTCCCAGAAAATATTGTAAGGCCACATTTAAAGATATTATCTCTCATATAAGTTTGCAGTAGGTGTGAAAAAAGGATGCTTTCAAACAAACGGTATTTCATAAACAAATATGTTATTCGTATTTTTTTTAATTTAACAATAGGGGTGCGACCAGGTAAGGGGCCTACAAGACATTGTGCCCAGGGGCCTTTGAATTCTTAATCCGGGCCTGGCTTTATCCCTTACTTTATGGAGCGTCCGATGCCTGTAAACACTCTTAAATTTTGTGTTTCAAATTACTATTATATTTATTATTTATTTTAAAATGTAATATTTGTGTTATTTATTGTATTTGTATTGTATTATAATATTTGTATTATTTTTAACTACTAATCACATTTCTTCCCAATTTAAAATATAAATCTCATCATTTAAAGCAGTGGCTCCCAACTTTTTTTTGCCTGAGACCCCCTTACCCCCCAGAAAATATTGTAAGGCCACATTTAAAGATATTATCTCTCATATAAGTTTGCAGTAGGTGTGAAAAAAGTATGTTTTCAAACAAACTGTATCTTTATTAGTGTATCTAGATATGTTTATGCACAAATAATAGCCTTATGACAAGCAAAACATCAGTAAGCCATTTGTGTTGGGTGCACATTGCGGTATTGCAGAGTAATCTGCAAATGTCAAATTAATTTGGACTGCCTCATGCATTCATTAACAACAACAACGCAGATAATGGACTGTGGCTGGGTCAGGGAATTTTGTTTCGAGAAAATGGAATAACACCATAGTTCAGGTAATTATCTTGGTATTTTTCTGCATTTCCTATTTCCAGTATTGCTAATGCTGTGACCCGAAATGGAGCTTCCTCAACTGGGTCCAGTAATCTTGGGTCATTATTATTAGCTGCTGAAGGTGAATCAGTGAGACTGATTCTTTTTTGTGGAGGACGAGTTACAAATTTGTCA